ATCCCACGCTAATAAAAAAAGATTTGCTTCTTCAGCTGTCAAAATTAACTCACGTTTCTTGCTCCACACGGTTGGAGATTCGAGTTTCCGAATTTTGACATCGTAGCACTATCTGCTGCATACGTGTGAAATCACACGTGTGTCATCTGTGGATATGCGTCAGGCCCATTATAGGCGCAAGCCCATGTAAACTTGGTAAAACAAAATACACATTTTATGGTGCAAGAACGTAACCAAATAGCCAAAATACACATTTATCATCTGAGAGGAGTCTTATGTATATGATACAGAAACTGTCTTCACAAACTCAGGAGTAGAACAATTTACAAGTGAAAATAAAAAGCATCTTCAACCGTTAGCACCGCTTTTTCCTAACCGCTCTTTGCCGCCTAGTGTTTGGATTATAGCTTCCAATAGCTTGATCTCATTATCGCGTTTCAATATCTGTTCTTGCATTCCTCGGAGCTCTTCCATATGCAGCTTGAAAACCTCTGAAAACAAAGATGAACAAAACAAACCCGAAACATATGAAACCAGAACTGGTTAGTAGACCGAAGAAGCGGATTAATCAAAAAGTACGTACTTGTGGTGTTTTCGAGCTCTTTCGTGACCTCTTGAGCACGTGACTCAGCAGCTTTTTGAGAGGACTCAGCGTGGCGTTTCTCTGACCGAGCATGAGCAGCAGCTGTAATGGCAGCATCTAGTTCTCTTTCTAGTGTTTGTACCCTTTGCTCAAGAACCTAAACAAGACATGAACAGAGTAAGAGACAATCTCAAACATGTAAACACAGTCTCCTTTGTTTCCTTAGACAATCAACAAATCTGGTTTGATACAGAGGTAGACATTTTTGCACTTCAGAATGAAACCTCAAGCTCTAGCCTTTGAGGAATTGGTGATCGTTTGCACCATCAATACATCACAAAATCGAGCAACAAGCTAAATCTCCAATCCAAAAAAGCCAGAAACATATAACTAAATGTGTTGATCACTGGTGCTAATTGGCGATTAATGCACCAAGATTCCTAATTTCTGAGTTTTACCAAGCAAACACAATGACATTATGAGTTTTTTCAAATTCAACATCTTATCAAATTCCAGATTCACACTATAACACTGAGCTAGATCTGTTTCCACAAGCACTCATGATCCAAACCAGATCGAACGATGAAAATCCACAACTCACAGAGACAAATCAATAAAATCCAGGAAAAGAAACACAAATTACAGTCAATCAACCTCGATTAAACTCCAAATAAACCATCGGGAAATGGATATAAACGGACCTTGATTGTACGGGATTGTTCGGAGACGAGAGAGGCTCTAGCGAAAGTGTCTTCTTCGACGAAGACAGCTTTTTTGAGGAGAAGCTTCTGCAGAGAATCGAGATTCGAAGCCATCTCCGTTATGTTATCTATTGATCCTTTCCATCTATCATCGTTCCCTCCGATCTGCTCCTCCATCGGAAGATCAAAGGATCCTCCCGGAGATATTTTTTTTGTTTGTCCGGCGAAATCAACTTGACTCGCAGATCGATCAGAGAAAGACGATGAAAATATTCTTTGGGCTTTCTTTTGATTATCGAACTTCTCCGGCCCATATATTTAGTTCAAGAAGCCCAAGCTCAAAGTTCTTTAATCCCCCACATAAACCAAACCGAATAAAAATCAAAATTGATAGTTAATAAAGATTGAATGATACCAACTTTTTATATCCGAAAGACCAAAATCCAGCCTGATTTGCTTTTTTTTTTTAATCCAAAATGATTTGCAAATGACACAAAATAAAAATCAAGCAATGCATTTTCATTTATTTTCTGTTTATGTATCATTTATAAACAGGGATTTTTGTTGACATTTTCATCCAAAACGTAAAATAAGTACTATAGGAAATATATATATATTTTTTAAAAAATTCGTTTATTTCTAAATGAAGATTTTTCGTTGAGATTAAAAACAATTCTATTACAATTCGTATGTTTTTCAAATGAAGACTTTTATTCTTGACTTTTACTGTAAAAAATTCTGTTTACTTTTTGGGCTGTGACTTATATGGCTGTGACTTTAAAAATTATAAAAGTCACAAATTGTGAAGTTTAAAAAAAAATTACTACGTGG